GTTGACTGGTTGGGGGCACAAATTAATGAAGATGGAGGTTTTCTGCATGTGGGGTGCTAAGCTGTGAGGGATCAGTTAGGGAAAGGTGATGAGTTGAGGGGGGTGATATATGCAAAGAGATGTGTGATGCTCTTGGGGTAGGGGTGGTGAACCCAAAACGGATGCATGTGCCAGTGGTTGTGGGCATGAGAGCTACTGTTCCTTGTGGATTTTATCCCAGTCCAGCACGCTGATATTCCTTTCCACACAGAGCAACATGCAGGGCTCTTGCTCTAGAAGAAATAACTAATTAATTTCTCTGCAGTAGTGATGTGAGGGACTGGTTGCTTCCTCCCCTCCCCCTTTGCTGCCTCTATCAGAAAGAGGCATCAAGAGGGGGACAGGAGGGGATACGAAGGGGGTACTTGAAAACAGCAGTGCTGCTTGAAACCTGGGCCAGACCAGGTGTCCCCAGGCTACATGCGGCATTTCAAAGCGACAGTGCCGTGGAACCGCTGATCTCGGGCTCTACATGATGCTGCCACTTTAAAACATTTTAGGGAGCCCAGCATGAGGCTCCTCCCAGTGTTTCAAAGAAGCAGTGCTGCCTGGAGCCTGGGATCAGCTGGGGACTCCCCCACTTACCCTGGGCTCCATGCGCTGTTGCCATTTTGAAACGCTGCAGGGAGCCCAGTGTTCAAAGTGGCAGCACCGTGGGGAGCCCAGGATCAGCTGTAGTCCCCAGCAGACCCTGGGCTCCCTGCACTGCTGCCCTTTTGAAACTCTGTTGCGACGTTTCAAAGGGGCAGCAGCAGTACAGCTGAACCCGGGCTCCACGCTAGCACCTGCAATTAATGCATGTTAATTTTTGTAATGTGTTAATTCTGCCCTGTGTTAATCGCAGGCATTAACATGCGTTAATTGACAGCCCTAATATGGTAGTATTCCCATATGCAGAACCTTCTCTGATGTTATTTCCTGATTTATTATACTCAGTGTTCATCCATCTAATCTTGGAGATGACATATGGTCTTCATTTATGCATCCTGATATGACTAATTTAACTGGTGTGTAGCAAGTCCTGACTGCGATGGAGCTGTCCCTGTTAGATACTCCCACTGAGTCAGGGAGCATGCCAGTGCCAGCCCCTCTCGCTCACATAGGTTGTACTGTGCCTCTCCCTCACTCGGTGTTTTGGAAGCCTGGGCGAGCGGCCTCAGATTTCCCCCTTTCTTCTGTAATAAGACAGTCCCCAAACTAACAAGAGCAGTAGGTAATTCTAAGTAGAACGGAGTTCCCTTTGTGGATGAGCTAGCGCGGGTGCTGTCACTAGTACTTGTTCTAACCTCTTAAAAGTCTCCTGCTCCTTTAAGAGCCAGTGAAGCAACCTTGTTAACCTTGTGCAATTTTCTATACAATTTCTGGAGAGTCCCAAGGAAAACCATAGGGCAGAGATCTCTTGGGGAATGGGGAGTTTGGTGATCAGGTCTGCCAGGGTTAGCCCCTGGATGGCCCCACGCTCTACTGTATTTATCTGCACCTCCACAGATACAACTCCTGTTGGCCATGGATTGCTGTTCCCGGCCAATGGGATCTGCGATTGCCCATACCTGCAGTGGTGCAGATAAATATAGTGGCAGCAGCCCACCAGGAGCTAACCCTGGTGAATTGCTGCCATTTTATTGCTCATCCCTGGGCTGGAGTCTGGATGCTGAGACTGAACGTCTATATTGCTATTTTTAGCTTGCACAGTGAGCCTGAATAAGTTGACTTACATGCTAAGACTCACTGCCACGTTATTTTTTCTTCTGTGTAGACTTGTCTCCAAAAATGAAATTTCTCCCATTGGAACAAACGCCACATTGCCTGAATCCCTTTAATCTTAGAAAATCTAAACCCATATGAACGCCTAAGGTACTTTTACACACATCTAAGGTACGTTTACAGTGCATGCTGAGCCTTCCATCCATCCATAAATCAGTCTAACTTGGGGTTAGTAAGTACTCAGGGCCCAGTCGTAGGGTACGTCTAGACTACAGGGTTTTGTCGACAGAAGTTTTGTCGACAGATACTGTCGGCAAAGCTTCTGTCGACAAAGAGAGTCTACACTACATTCAGTTCTGTCGACAAAGCAAGCTGCTTTGTCGACATGGCAGTGTAGACGCAAGGACAGTTTACATGCAATAACACCTTCTGTTGACAGAACTCTGTCGACAGAAGGTGTTATGCCTCGTAAAATGAGGTTTACCAGCGTCGACAAAACGGTAGTGTAGACGCAGGTATAGTTTTGTCGACAAAAGTCCACTTTTGTCGACAAAACTCTGTAGTCTAGACACACCCGTAGTACCTTGGTCTTGGAGAGGTTCTGAGGCCAAGTTCTGTTGAGACTGTAGTCAAATGCTGTTGTTTTGCATTATGGATGCAGATCAAGCAACAAACCCAAGTCAAAAGGTTTGTGTAGTATGCACATACTGATGCATTAGCATGTCTGTGAGACCAGGGACATGTAACTGTAAACCTATCTTTATAATGCAATGTAAATTTTCAAGTTTGGACTTGAAAACAGAATCCACAAGCCTGTGTCCTGAAGACCTGAGGTCAGTGTGTGGTGCTGACACATCCTTCTGACTGTCTAGAGATTCTTACGTTTTCATTTGAACTGCATTATGAACAAAAACATTGTGTTTGTTTCAATGCGATCATTGACATACGTTCAAATAATGCCCTGATTTCTTGTTCACTTTTGCCTCTTTTTCAAGGCTATAGTATACAAAATGCTATGATTCAGACAAATATAGTAATTGGATAATTTAAAGTTGTGGGAAATCCCAGCAATATAAATTGGCCCCTCGTGCATTGCTTGTTTATCTCGTACTTTTTTATAATGACATAAAAATTAATGTATGTACAACTGTGTACCTCAGGGAGGTTCAGTTACCACTAGTATGGGAACTATAATTCCCTCATTCCTCTGCATTCAAAATCTATAATCATTTTTTTTCCTCAGTGGGGCAAGGCATTTTTGGCACTTCTAATATGTAGGTTGTAACACAGTCCTTCCCAGTCCAGGAAGACTGCAATTAAATCTTGAAATGTATGTGTTACACCCATGAATTATTATTAAAAAATTCACACCCACTGTGTACGGTCCTGTAGATTGAATTAGGGCTTCAGAGTTCCCTCCCTTTTCTGGTGACTATATAATGTACCTGAGTTTTGCTGTCATGTTTTGACATGTCTAAAATCTCTTGCTGGAATGCATAGCTATATTATTCACAAATGCATGCTTATATGTAAATCATGTTGAAATGAAAGGTGCTGTATTAAAATCAAACTCATATATATTTATCTTTTAAGCTTGTCACTTGGAATTGTACCCAGGACAAAAGACTAGTGACATAATGGTAGCCGATTCAAACTCTAGCTGAACAAAGAGTGCTTTCTGTTAAATCTTTCTTGATTTTTTTTCCCAGTTACTTTCATGCAAGAATTCCCATGGTTACCGTGAAATGCTTTGCCTATCTCACTTATAGTGATTGAAATGATTTAGCATTCAGCAGGGATAGCTTTACTTTTTGCATCAGCTGAAGGTAGCTATCAGTTATTCTTTGAAAATGAGACTTCAAGCCAAGCATGTTGTGTTCCTTTTGCAGAAATGCAGCTGAATGGAACTGCAGGGGCCACAGACACAAGAACTTGAACCACGTTTATGGAAAGTTAACTCTGTTTGTCACTGGTCTCTTTTCCTTATTAATAAAGAAGAGTATTTCATCAGGAGCGTGGGATGTATTAACTCCAACTTGTTAATATACTAACTTGGAATAGTGTACTGAAAACAATTCTACGTACCGAGGCACTTGTCCTGCCTATAGAACACTTTTCTGATAATGCAACTCAATGGAAGAAAGTAATGTTTTGATAAGGATGCGTGAAGATCATTCCTTTCATGTTCGCTACAGGTAAGACAATGTACTATTTTGTATGAATTTTTAAGTACTGTGTTTAATAGTAGAAATCTTATGTGCATTTTCAATACTGTGCTTATTAAAAAGTAACAGCAAAATTTTCAACAGGAATCAATTTATTTACTTGTGTTACTAGTGCGACTGTACCTTAAAATTGAAAGAAATATAAAAAAAATCACTTATTGTTTAGTCTGTTAGTTATCTTTTTCTTGTTAAAGCTGAGAAAATAGACTAGTTGGTTGCCTAGTTGATTTCATTTTTCCCTCTTGCATTAGTACAGTGCAAACTCTGATGGAAAATATTTGCACTGGATGGTGGGAACTTTCTATTACAAACTTTTCTAACCGTTTTAGATTTTGTCAAAGCATATCTTTTAACATCTAAAATTTGGTTCAGATTTGACCTAACAGTGTCTCACTTGGTCTTGAACCCAAGAACTATGTGAGATTGAAAAAAATAATTAAAAAAAAAGTAATTCCATACTTCTACAAGTTTGGTTCTGTTCTTTCAAGAAATTCCATTTTTTTTTATTCCTTCCATAGCTCTGCCCTGGAACCCTGTGTGCTGGAACTGTGTACTATTGAAATCCATTGCTGTGTGCGATCACAAAAAAAATTTCAGTTTTTCTGAGGGTTTAGCAAGCCAATTTGCCTTTATCAGGCAGTCATCGAGACAAGGGAAGACGATGCCTCCTTGTCTCCATAGATAGGTGGTAGCCACTGCCAGGGTCTTGCAGGACAGGGAACTCTGGGGGCAGAGGACAGTCTAAAAGGTAGAATACTGTACTGAAAATGGTCCTGCCCTATAGTGAACTCGAGGTAGTGTTTGTGGGAGGGGTGGATGTTGATATGAAAATAAATGTCTTGTGGGTTGAGGGCTGCGAACCAGTGCCCCTCGTCTAGTGCCAGAATTATTGTCACAAGAGTGACATCTTAAAGCGTTGTTTGTGCAGAAACTTGTCTAGTTTGCGGAGGTTGAGAATTGGCCTTCATCTGCCAGCTTTCTTCTGGGTGAGAGAGTAGTTGGAGTAAAACCCCTGCCTCAGTAAAGGCTGGGGACCTGTTCCACGATTCCAGTATGAAGTATGTAGTTGACCTCATGGTGTAAAAAGTTGCTTGTGGGTGGGATACCCGAAGAGGAATGGATAGTTGGTGAGGTTGAGGGGAGTGAAAGGGATGACGTATCCTGTGCGGGTGAGCTCTGGTACCACTGAGCTGTTGTATGCACCCATTGTTGGTAAAAGGGGTGTAATTAGTGGGTGAAAAGGTGGCACTGCCGTGAGAGGGAGGTTCCAAATCCTCAAAACTGCTGCTTAGAGGAGTGGGGAGCTAAGGGGCAGCTCTGAGGAGGGTGCTTCTTCTGCACTGTTGACCTGGAGTGGTCATATTCAAACGATGGCTGTAGGGGGCTTCTGGGTGGGTGTATAGCATCTTTGTTGGCAAGGTGGCATGTAAATGCCCAAGGTGCACATTGTGGTTCAGGAGTCTTACTGGTATGGAGGGCTTCATTGGCTTTCCTTGAAAAGAGTTTGTCATTGTCAAAGGGGAAGGTCCTTCACCTTGCCCTGCAGCTCCTTTGAAACATGAGAGGCTTGAAGCCAAGATGCTTTATGCATCACAATTGCTATCATGTGAGCGGCAGTGTTGGCAACATCAAGAGATGACTGGAGCACAGTATGTGCTATTGTATGCCCCTCCTGTATGATAGCTTTCTGTACTGACTTTCTGGGAGGTGTTCGATGAGCTCTGCCAGTTTAGAATAGTTGTCAAAATGATAATTCACCAGTAGGGCAGAGTAGTTGGTGACCCTGAGTTGGTGCGTGGCAGATGGAAGTACCTATCCGCTGAAGAGATCTAGTCTCTTATTATTCTTATCCTGAGCAGTAGTCTTGAACTGAGGCAGTTTAGCCTGCTGATGGTCTGCCTCCACAACCAGGGAATTAGGTTGTGGGTGGGAGAACAAGAAGTCCATGTCCTTGGCCGGGATAAAATACTTCATGTCGGCTCTCTTGTTGGTTGCTGGGATCAATACAGGGGTCTGCCAGATCTCGTCAGAGGTTTCCATGATGGCCTCATTGATGAACAATGCTATTTTGGCAGGCACCATGAGTTGGAGGATTTTTAATAGTTGTTTTTTCTGGACTGCTTGAAGGGGGGGATCTCCTGACTAGTTGCTAGCCTCTTGAACAGGTCTTTGAATTTGCTTGAGACTGTCAGAGGGGGACAGGTTGGAGAGAATTACTTCCTCAATGGTGCTACCAGTGCCACCTGAGTAGATGCTGGTGATTGCGACTGATGGTAGGTCTTGGAATCGGTGCTGGTAGAGACGCATCTCAACATGGTAGTGGCGGTGCCCGGCCTATCTCCCTTACCTTCTCTCAGAGTCAGTATGGCAGGCTGTTTCGTGGCTGCCTTGGTTGGTTGGGACCTCTCAGGCTGGGGTCTAAACGGCTCCTGTTATTAAGTCTTCGAGGGCTGGAGTAACTTGTAAAAAAAGGAGCATTTTCAGCCTGAGGTCTGTCTCTCAAGGCTGTGGCCATGAGGCTGCAGCAGTGGGCATATTTCTGGAAAATATGTGAGTCCCCCAGGCATGGGGTCATGACACGGGTCACACTTTTTAAACCCTAGAGATCCAGGCATAGTTTCTCTTCTTCCTCTTCTTCCTCTCTCCCTTTTCTTCTCTTCTGTCTCTTGCTCTTTTTGTTTAACTATTTAGAGGTTAAAATGCAGAATGGAGAAGTAGTTGAGAGAATCATAGAATCATAAAACACTAGAACTGGAAGGGACCTTGAGGTCATTGAGTCAGCCCCCTGCCTCATGGCAGGACCCAGTACCATTTAGACATCCCTGATAGATGTCTGTCTAATTTGCTCTTAAATATCTCCAGAGATGGAAATTCCACAACCTCCGTAGGCAACTTATTCCAGTGTTTAACCACCCTGACAGTTAGGAAGTTTTTCCTAATGTCCAACCTAAATCTCCCTTGCTGCAGTTTAAGCCCATTGCTTCTTGTCCTATCAGAGGCCAAGGAGAACAATTTTTCTTCCTCCTCCTTGTGACACCCTTTTAGATGCCTGAAAACCGCTATCATGTCCCCCCTCAGTCTTCTCCTTTCCAAACTAAACAAGCCCAGTTCTTTCAGTCTTCCTTCATAGGTCACATTCTCTATACCTTTGATCATTCTTCTTGCTCTTCTCTGGACCTTTTCCAATTTCTCCACATCTTTCTTGGAATGTGGTTCCCAGAACTGGACACAATACTCCAACTGAGGCCTAATCAGTGCAGAGTAGAGCGGAAGAAAGACTTCTCGTGTCTTACTCACAACACTCCTGTTAATGCGTACCAGAATCATGTTTGCTTTTTTTGCAACAGCATCACATTGTTGACTCATATTTAGCTTGTAATGCACTACGACCCCTAGATCCCTTTCTGCAGTACTTCTTCCTAGATACTTGCTTCCCATTTTGTATGTGAGAGACTGATTGTTCCTTCCTAAGTGGAGTATGTTGCATCCTTATTAAACTTCATGCTATTTACCTCAGACCATTTCTCCAGTTTGTCTAGATCATTTTGAATTATGACCCCTCCCAGCTTGATATCATCTGCAAACTTAATAAGCATACTCTCTATGCCAATATCTAAATCGTTGATGAAGATATTGAACATAACTGGTCCCAAAACAGACCCCTGCGGAACCCCACTTATTATGCCCTTCGAGCAGGATTGTGAACCGTTAATCTCTCTGAAAACGACTATCCAATCAGTTATGCACCCATCTTATAGTAGCCACATCTAAGTTGTAATTGCCTAGTTTATTGATAAGATCCTGCGAGACTGTATCAAATGCCTTACTAAAGTCTAGGTCGGGGTGGCCAACCCGTTCCAGATGAAGAGCCACAATAGCAGTGGAGACAGCGTGAGGAGCCGGGGCAAAATTTTTGGGGGCCTGGGGGAAGTTGCGCTGAAGGAAAATAGGTGCTGATACATCCGTCCCAGGCCACGGCCATTTTTTGTTGTTGTTGTTAACAACTTTGCCCTGGGTCTTCACAGCCCTGCCCCCTCTCTCCTCCTCCTCCTCCCCCCCAACATCTTTGCCCTTGCTTTTCACACTGTCTCCACTGCTGTTGTGGCTCACAAAAAAAGCACTGGGAAGGGGTGAGAGATGCAAGCTCTGTGAGGGAATTTGGGTGCAGGAGGAAGTAGAGAAGAGGATGCTGGCTCAGGGAGGGGGCTTCAGGCTGGAGAGTGTTGGGGTCAGGTTAAGGGTTGGGGTGCTGAGCAAGCTGCACGTTTGTGGCTGTGAGGGTGCAGGAGTTTGGGCTGGGGTGCATGAAGGACTCAGGGCAGGAAAGCTGGGAGTATGAGGGGCTCAGGCACAGATTTGCAGTGTGTGGATGGTGCAGGAGTTTTGTGGCAGAAGACTGGGGATGTGGGGGTGCAGGACAGGGAGTTCCAGTGTATGATAGGCTCAGGTTTGGGGTGGGGGTGCAGGAATGTTATGATGCTGTGACCAGATGGGGGCTTGGCCCCAACTGGGGGCTCGTTGGCCAGGCTTCATTTTTAAATAAAATATTATGTCAAACACAAAATGTTTCAGCGTTGTCTTTTTTTACGAGAGGGCTGGGGAACCTGTTTTGAGTCAGGGGTCACTGACCCACAGAAAAGTCAGTTGAGGCCACACAAGTGAGATGCAAAAAAAATAACTCCTCCAACCCCCCATCCCCAGGCCTCACTAATGTGGCCCCAAATGTGCTGGTGGGGGAAAGGGACAGGGTTCTGGGGCATGGTGCTGGTGGGTTCTGTGTCAGGGTATTCATCGGGGGGAGGGGTCTGGCCAGGAGGAAGGGACGGACAGCTGGGGCCAGTACTTGGGGATCCTGGGTCTCAGGAAGCGCTTCCCCTTCCCCTCTCCTGCTCTAACCCAATCTCTCTTCCCTTCCCCAGAGCTTTGTGCGTGCGCACACCCACACCCCCCTCTAATCCAATCCCCAGAGC